GCTTGCTTAGCATGTGAGAGTTGCTGGTTCCATCCCAAGGACACCCCCCAACCTCTCCACACACACACAAAACATGCATAATAATGAGAGAAATGCAAATTGAAAATACAACTTAGACACTCTTCTACAATATTTAAAATTAAGAAAGTTTACCATGCCACATGTTATCCAGGATGTAGAAGAACAGAAACTTTCTTTCACTCTTGTTGGGGATGAAATACAACCATTTTGAAAAGTTTGGCAGCTTCAGCCAGATGTGGTGACACACACCTGTAATGCCAGTTACTCTGGAGGCTTAAGTGGGAATATCATCTGAGCCCAAGAGTTTGAGACCAGCCTGGGCAACATGGAGAGGATCCCATTTCAAAAAGAAAGAAACGAGCTGGGGATGTAGCTCAATGGTAGAGTACTTACTTCACACCTGTGAAGCCCTGGGTTCAATCTCCAGCACCACAAAACAACAACAACAACAGCAGCAAATTCTGGCAGCCTCACAAAAAGGTAAACATATATCTACTATATGACCCAGCCATTCCACTTCTAGGTATTATTAATTCAAGAGTCATGAAAGATTATGTCCACACAAAGACATACAGACATGTATATATGCTTTATTTATAATTGCCCCCAAACTGGAAATAATTCAAATTTCCAGAAACAGGTGAATAGAAAAGCAAAGTGCATGGTATATCAATACAATGGAATGCTAGTCACTAATTAAAAAAGAATGGATTGTTAATTGAACAACATAGATATGCACACACACACACACACACACACATTAAAAAAAGAATACATATTGAATACTTGTCATTTATATAAAATTCTAGAAAATGCAAACTATAATGATGGGGGCACAGAAAACTTTTTGAAGGTAAGGGAACCTTCTTTATAATTGATTTTGGAGATGTCACATACAAATTATCAAAACATATCAAATTGTGTATGATAAATATGCATAGTTTATTATGTCAATTATACCTCAGTTAAACTGTTAAAGAGGTGGACACAGTAGCACATGCCTGTTATCCCAGCTCCTCAGGAGGCTGAGACAGGAGGATCACTTGAGCTCAGGAGTTTGATGCCAGCTTGGGCAACTCAGCCAGAACCTTTTTCAAAATAAAAATAAAAGAACTGATAATGAAAAAGGTTCCCAGGAAGTGGTGCTACAATCTCACTCTGCCTCTCTTGGGAACTCTCCTGGAGTTGGGCCTGATCCCTCCTAGGGCCATGCAGAAGGGCAGATTAACTGGGAGGCCCAGGAAGAGGTCCTTGAAATTGATAAAGCCAAGTAGAGGTGATGGCAGTCAACTGGCGGGCTTGGCAAGTAGGGCTGTCGTCATTTCCTTCCACAGTCTCAAAACATGGCAACTGTCCTTCAGATATGCCCAGCTCCTTACTTCCTCAAGCCCCCAGTCATCAAAAGGTGGGGATCCCCTCATCATTCAAATCATTCATGAATGCTAAGTGCCTTCTCTAAGTATCATGTCCAAATTAGTTCCTACCCCTCACCCTGCCTAAAGTCAATTTCGACATTTCCGTTTTACTTTCTTCATCTTAAATATCACAATCAGAAATTCTTGTCCATTTAGTAATTTCCTTTCCTTTTCGTTGTCTATTATTTTCCTCCTTCTTTTATGCTGTTGTTGCTTCAACCAGATCTCTATTACTGGTAGTATGTCCATCCCACAGGTACTTTAAGTTTCAGGTGATAACTCATGATTGTCCCTGCTAATAACTGACTGAAATGTGGGAAGGGAAGTGAGGTGAATATGCTAGACCAGCTCCCTTTCCTTCAGGAAGCTTAACTCTAATGTAATTTGTCCTCTGAGTTCCCAATGAAAAATGAGACTGAAGCTAGTCTCCACTTAAGACCACCTTTTTTTTTTTTTTAATTGGGGATCAGATCCCAGGTGCACTCTATCACTGAACTAAGTCCCTAGTTTCTCTGTCTCTGTCCCTCTGTCCCTTTGTTTCTCTCTCTTTTTCTTTCTTTTTTTTTAAAGAACTTTTTATTTAATTGATTTTCTGTCATTTTTTTTATTTTCCAATTTCATTAAGCTCCATTGTGATCATTATAATTTCCTTTCTTCTGTGTACTTTGAATTTTATTTGCTATTCTTTCTCATTTCTTTTTTTAAGAGAGAGTGATAGAGGAGAGAGAGAGAGAGAGAGAGAATTTTTAATATTTATTTTTAGTTCTCGGCGGACACAACATCTTTGTTGGTATGTGGTGGTGAGGATCGAACCCGGGCCGCACGCACGCCAGACGAGCGCGATACCGCTTGAGCCACATCCTCAGCCTCTCTCTCTTTTTCTTGAGATAGGTTTTCACTAAATTGCTGAAGCTGGCCTTGAATTTGCAATCCTCCTGCCTCAGCCTCCCAAGTCAATGGGATGACATGCCTATGTTATTGTGCCTGGCTGAAGATCACACTCTTTTTTTATATACCTTTATTTTATTTGTTTATTTTATGTGGTGCTGAGGATCGAACCCAGTGCCTCACACATGCCAGATGAGCACTCTACCACTGAGCCATAACCCTAGCCCAAGATCATACTCTTAACTTTTTTCTTTGCCCTGCCCTGCCTTCCTAACTCCCTTCTCCTGAGAGCATTTCCCCCATAAATCACTTGGAGAAGAACTCTCATCGTAGATTGCTTCTAGAGAATGACACCCATGCCAGCTGTCTTTACTCCCTGTATTAATCTGTTTTCTGTTGCTATAACAAAATACCTGAAATTGGGTTCTTTTACACACACACACACACACACAAACAAACACATACACACATATAATGTATATATAAAGCATATATATAAAGCATATGTGTGTATATACGTGTGTGTGTGTTATTTATGAGGTGCAGAGAATCCAACCCAGTGCCTCACATGTATTAGGCAAGCACTCTACCACTGAGCCACAGCCCTAGCCCAAGACTGAGTGCTTTATAAAGGAAATTTATTTAGCTAACAGTTTTAGAAGTCTAAGAGTATGATGCCATCATCTGCTGACTCCAGTGAAATCTTTCTGGAGCATCATATCATGGTGATATGATAGCATAAGTGAGAGGGAGAGATCACATGGCAAAACAGGAAGCCAGGGCACAGGGAAGGACCAATGTTACTCTTTTTATAACAACCCTTTCTCACAGGAACTCACTAATTCCCCAAACCAGCATTAACCCCTTGGAAGGACAGTATCCCCAATGACCTAATTATCTTCCAATAGGCCCCTTCTCTTAAAGATTCCACCAGAGGTTGAGGGTAGAGTACACATTTATCATGCGCAAGGCCCTGGGTTCAATCCCCAGCACCACTCCTTCTCCAAAAATCGTTTCTACTGCCTCTTATATTGCCACACAGGAGACCAAGCTTCCAACACATGAATCCTTGGGGAATAAGCCACATCTAAACCACAGCAGTCAATTAGAACAAATTCCTCTCAGTCTATGCATATGACCCCCTCCCACCCACCCTGCTGGTTAAATAGCAGAGTATATTTACTTCCCTAGAAGAGTGCCTAGAACACAGTAAGTGCTCAATAAATTAACCAAATGAATGTAGGGGCAAGCCAAGGATCTTTTATAATTCAGCTGTCAGCAATGCTCCAGCCTGGAGGCATTGTGAGTCATAGCTGGTAAAGAGGAGCTAAGTGGCTCAGAGATGAGACCAGGCCTGGGACAGCAGCTTGGCACCTCCAGCACATCTTCCAGGTGAGACACAACATGAAGCAAAGATTACTGGGAAAGGGCCCTCTGGAGAGTTGTAACAAGGGTGGATCTGGAAGTGGGCTCTCCTAGATGGTCTCCTTGAACCAGATTCAGGGGAGGTATCATCCATCTCTTAGCTCTATGTGATAAATAAGTGTGTAGAATTAATGAAGGTAAGACAGAGGGAAATCTGCCCCAGTTAGTCCTCTTTCCTCCCTCCATGAGAAGAGGAATTTTAAAACACAAAACACATATCCCTTTCTTACATAATAGAATCAGCACTTACTGGGGAAAAAGACCCAGTAGAATGGGACTTATCTGTTTTGTTATCTGAACTTTAGATTCATTGAGGAAGTAGTCTGCTTAGTACAAAAGTCACTTCTAGTGTGCACCAGCCATTACCTTGAAACCAGAGCATAGATCTAGGCAAAGGCGTTTGTCCCAGGATGTCACTGAGCATACTGTATTGTGATCTATGTGGATATCTCTTTCTGGCTGGACCAGGAGTTTATTAAAAGCAGGCACAGTCTGTGCTAGTATCCCCTGCCCAGACCAAGGGTTGGCACATAGCAGGTGCCAGTTCAAGGTTGAATGACAAGGGCAGTAATGGTGTTGGTTTTGTCAGACATCCCATCAGATACTTTGCAGAATCCAAATCCTGGCTTTGTAATCCTTTAGCAGTTCCCTCTTACCTAGAGTAAGCAAATTGCTAAGCCTGCCTGTAGACACCTCAAGTGCCTTGGTTCAGCTTCTTCTGCTGGTGCCAGAATCAATCCTACCCCAACCTCTTCCACACATTTGCAGCATGAAAGTCTTACCCCTCTCTTCACTTTTTCTAGAAGCTCTCCATCTATTCATACCCATTCCTCCTGGAAAAGTTCTGTTCCTCCATTAAGTACCTACTGGTCTCGCTATCATTCCTTCCTCTTCCACCCATGACCTCTTCCAGATGCAACTCAGAGAACAGGGCCCTAGACCTTCATGTACATGTCTATACCCAGGGCCCTGGCACCCAAGAGTGGTCTTTGGGGGAAGTGGTTTCTGTGAGCCTGTGCGTAGTGCGATTGTACAAGGATGAACTCTTCAGTGACCCGCAACTAGTTAGCCCAAAAAGCAAGCCATAAGCTAATCCAAGTTCATCAGCTTCGCGGTTTGCAAGCCTGTACCAACCAGGCGGTTCACCTAGGTATTTGTACCCAACAGTGCCCCTGGCTCGCCTTCATCATTCAGGACACCAGGGCTCCGGAGGCAAGGGGGCAGCACCGGTTGCCACTACCCTGCGGCCACCTGTGCGCTCAGGCGAGAGGCCTGCCCACCCCTCACTCTGGCTGCCTTCGAGTGCCTGGCTAGGAGCCATACCAGCAGCTTTTGGGAGCTGCTGCGGCAATTCTGGGCCGATCATTTCTCGCGGCGCTTCTCACCACGGCGGCCGCCGCTGCGCCACATCTCCTCCATGTCCACCTTCTATCTGTTGGACCACCGGACGCGCCAGGCTGAGCTGGGCCTCAGCTACGGTGAGCCGCGCACACGCCTCAACAACCAGGCCTTCGTGTTCCGCAGCGGCCGGTGGAGAGCGGAGGGCCAGCAGCCGCGGTCACGGCCGCCGAAGTCCTCGCCAACCATCTCAGGCTGGAAACCACAGGTACAGCGAGTCAAAACCCAGATGCTTTTGGAGGAGAACAACTACCTGAAGCTGCAGCAAGAACTACTCATGGACATGCTGACTGAGACCACGGCGCGCATGCACCTGCTGGAAAAGCTCAACCCCGAGAACAGTCAGGCGCGCGCCTGGCAGAGGAAGATGCGCAAGCGTGAAGCCGCCGGCGGCGTGCTCATGATCGAACCGCGCGCTTCGGAGTCGCGATGATGCAATAAAACTCCGAGCCGCGCACGCGCGCCTGGCCCCTCGCCTTTAACCCGGGCTGGATCTGTGGAACCGCTGGGCTAGGGGTGATCTCAGGGGCTGACACTCTGTGCTAGGTGTGGACCAATGACGTTGACCTAAGCAATCCTCTTAGGAGCTTGAGATAGGACAGCAAGGAAGAATCTGTGAGTGCGACCCTCCAGATCCTGGAGTGGGAGCCTGGTTTGCTGCAAGCAGTTCGGGGTGGGGTGGGGCAAATGGCAGGTAATGGCATTCTAGGTCACCAAAGAACGGGGGGTGGGTGGGGGGCGAAGTCCAAAAGGCAAAGGAATCGCGGCGCTCTGGGAATGCAGGGTGCAGTGTGATGATGCCCAGGGTGAAGAGGTGGGTAGGGTTGAGGATTAGAGACTTTTCACTTTCACCCTAGAGATACAGGCTGGGAAATCTAGGGAAGTACCTTATCCCTGAGAGAAGCTTTGGCCCTTCCTATTCCCACCTGCCTGTTTGGCCTTTTGGAGAATCGTACCTCCAAAATAGGCCTTTTTCCTCTTTCCTAGAATAAGGAGGCCTTTTCAACCCGCACTTTGAAAAACAAAATGCATTTGTTGCCAACATTTCAGAATTTGAAATTTCAGATTTCTGGCCCAGCACAGTGTTTCATACCTCTAATTCCAACTACTAGGTAGGCCAAGGCAGGAGGATTACAAGTTTGAGGCCAGCCTCAACAATTTAGCAAGACCCTAGCAACTTGGTGAGACACTGTCTCAAAATAAAAAGCAAAAAATGGCTGGGAATGTAGCTCAGTGATAAAGTGCCCTTGGGTTCAATCCCCAGTACCAAAATTAAATAAAAAAAAGTAAATTTAAAAAAAAGTAAAACCGAGCTCGGTGACATAGGACTGTAATTCCAGTTCCTGGGGAGGTTGAAGCAGGAGGATGGCAAGTCAGAGTTCAGCCTCTGCAACTTAGCATGACCCTATCTCAAGACAAAAACTAAAAGGCTGGGGATGTAGCTCAATGGCAATATGTCCCTGTGTTCAATCTCTAGTATCTAAAATAGAAATAAAAGATAAATATAGGAAAGCAAATGAGGAGGGAATCAGAACTATGTACTAAAAAAAAATCAAGAACAAAAAGATATCAGTAATGGAGAAAATATACTAGGTGAAGGAAGGCAGACGCAAAGGACTATATATGGTATGATTCCATTTATATAAATATCCTGAATAGGTATATCCATGAAGACAGAAAGCCATTTCGTGGTTACCAAGGGGTGGGAAAAGGGAGTTACTAATTAATGGGATTTCCTTTTGGGGTGATGAATAATGCTTTGGAACTACAATGGTAATGATTGCACAACATGTGACTATACTAAAAGCCAGTAAATTGTACACTATAAAATGGTGAATTTTTTTTTTTTTTTTAGTTCTCGGTGGACACAACATCTTTGTTGGTATGTGGTGCTGAGGATCGAACCCGGGCCGCACGCATGCCAGGCGAGCGCGCCACCGCTTGAGCCAAATCCCCAGCCCCTAAAATGGTGAATTTTATCACAATAAAAAAAAAATCAGTGGCACAGGTCTGTAATCCCAGAGGCTAAGGCAGGAGTATTACAAGGCCAGTATTCAGCAACTTAGTGAGACCCTGTCTCAAAATAGAAAATAGAAAAGGTCTGGAGATGTGGCTCAATATGGTTAAGCATCCCTGGGTTCAATCCCAGGTACCAATGTTGCAGGAATCAGACTGGTCAAGAAGCGGCAAATGGCACTTGGCGAGTGGGAGAAGTCAGATTTTATTTTTATATTGGCAGGCCCAGAGATCAAACTCCAAATTCTGAGCCCCCATTCCCAGTTTTTCACAACCTTTATAGGCAATCTGGTGCTATAAAATTTCTAGTTTACATGATAGAAGGCCCTGCAGGGGGTTTCTAGTGGGAAGCCTGTTTATAGAAGCAGAAAGTGATAAGGGCAAAAACTGGCTCTTTTCACAGGCCTCTGATAAATCTCTAGCCTTTTGTGCCCAAAGCCTGAACAGGGGCGTTTACACTTCAAAGCGAGTAATTAGATTCCTAGAGGCAGTTATTTACAATCCAAAAGGTAGAGGCCTATGGTTAATTAGGTTTCCTAAAGAAGGGCTGACAGAAAGGGGAAGAGAACTCACCCTTTTCCTGGGCACTAGTTTTTCATGATAGTGGTTTTATCATTTCATTTTACAACCAGTCCTGATTTTACCATCCATTACACCAAAAAAAAAAAAAAAAAAGAAAGGAAAGGAAAAAAAAACAGAAAAAGAGGAAGGTGCTAGCATAAAAACATATGGCACGGTTAAATAGCAAAAATATAACTAGGTTATGATTGCTGTATGTATATAGGTGACTCTATGACCAGTGTGATTCTGCAATCTGTACAATTAGAAAAATGAGAAATTATACCCCAATGATTCAAGTGTATGAATTGCCAAGATCATTGTAATATCATGAATAGCTAATAAAAATAAATAAATTTAAAAATAAGACTAGGCATAAATATCTATAGATTGCTTTGGCTAACAGTTCTAGGATAGAGAAAATTATCCTGCCACACGGGCAGGGAGCCCCCCACAGCCCTGCAGCAGTGCCCAGTTCAAGGAGGGGCAATCAAGAGGATGATGGCAAGATATTTTGAGATATCTTTGTTCTTTCTGTTCTGGAATTTCACTCCCTGGCCCTACCCGCTGTCTGTAGCAGCCAAGTTCATTGCTCCAGGGGAGGGAAGTGCCAGAGAAGAAAGGAGAAACAAAGGACTTGGCTTACATCTCCTACAGCCCAGAACCGTCTGGGCACAGAGCTTTTCGAAAGTTATATTTGGGTGTGAGGTAGGAGGTCAAAAAGCCTGTGGGTTTGTCCACAGTGAGAGGAAAGATGAAAGAAAACAAGTGTAGACACCCGGTTGAGTCTGCCATCGTGTATGTGTGTGTGTGTGTGTGTGTGTGTGTGTGTGTGTGTGTGTGTAATTCCACTTTCTTAATTCCACTTTCTCTTCCAGCTACTGCCTCATTTCTTTGCTCCCTTTTATAACTAAACTCCAAAAATTGCTTGGATTCTCTGTCCCCAATTTCTCCTTCCCCGTTTGCTCTTAAGCCCCCTCAACTTCGGATTTCTCACTTCCTACTTTCTCCCCAACCTACTTTTGTTAGGGATGCTGTAGACCTCCTTGCGATTATTAAGTCCTTTGGCCAGTTTTCTGGCCTCATCTTACCGCATCAGCAGCATTTCATACTGTGATGGCAAAACCAGACATGGTTGTGAAATGAAATGATAAAAACGTTATGGTAAGAGGGGGCTGGGGTCATGGCTCCCTGGTAGAGCCCTTGCCCAGCAAGTGTGAGGCCCTGGGTTCTATCCTCAGCACCATCTAAAAATAAATAAAAGTAAAGAAAAAACGTTATAAGAAAACAAGGCCTGGGGAAAGGGTCAGTTCCCCTCTCTTTGCCTTTCTCCAGGAAGCCTAATTAACCACAGGTCCTTATCTTTTGGATTGTAAATAACTGCCCTTAGGAGTCTAACTACTCCCTCTTGAAATGTAACAGCAGGTCCTTCCTTACCTTTTGGATTGTAAATAACTGCCCCAGCAGTCTGAATACTCCCTCTTGAAATGTAACAGACGTCTGTGAAAAGAGCCATTACTTATCTGTTTCTGTAAGCTTGCCTTATGTTAGAGACCCTGCACAAAGAAAAAAAGCTCCAATGATAGAACAAGTCTGCGGTGATGCCAAAGAACCTATAAATGTTGTGAAAAACTGTGGATCAGAGCTCAGAATTTGGAGTTTTGTTTTCCTCTGAGCTGCCTGGTATAAAATAAAGTTTGGAGTTCCCCTCCTCTCTGAGTGCTGTTTGCTGCTTCTTGATCAGTTTGTTTCCCCCAACAATACAGTTAACCACCCCTCCTCATCCTCAAAACACTTGGATTCTAGATCTTCCTGTTTTCCTTCCTAGGATACCTCCAGCCTCAATGCTCTTCTCATGCCACTTCAGCCTGAAAGTTGCACCTACTCAGTGTCTTGCTGATTTCACTCTCATTTTTTTTTCAGGAATGTGCTTGAATACCAACTCTTCAATGAAGTGTTCCCCAATGACTTGATGAAAGTATGCCTTCTTCCCAACCCCTAACCAATTTATCTCCCTTTCCTGCTAAATGCTTTGTAGCATCTATTACCTTTTCTGTTTTGAAGTACTGGGGATTGAACCTGGTGACACTCTACCACTGAGCCACATTCTCCCTTTTTAAAAATTTTAATATATATATTTAATATGGTGCTGGGAATTAGATCCCAGGGCCTTATGCATGCGAGGCAAGCACTCTACCAACTGAGCTATATCCTCAGCTCTTCCTAGCCCTTTTTATATTTTATTTAGAGACAGAGTCTCGCTGAGTTGCTTAGGGCCTCATTAAGTTGCTGAGGCTGGCTTTGAACTCAGGATTTTCCTGCCTCAGCCTCCTAAGTTGCTGGGTTGAAGGCCTGTGCCACTGTGCCTGCCCCTCCCCACACCCAGCCCTTTTTATTTTTTTATGTTAAGATAGTGTCTTGCTAAAATTACAGAGACTGGCCTCAAATTTGCAATCCTCCTGCCTCAATTTCCTGAGTCCCTAAGATTACAAGCACATGCCAACATGTCCAGTCACCTATCATCATTTGACAGGCTATCTATTTTATGTATTTTTCAGTCTCTTCCAACTGATATAAGCTCCAGAGGGCTTTTCATTCTATTTTCTTCCTGCATTTCAGTGTAAAGAAGTGCTTAATACTTGTTAGGTCCTCGCCCAAATATTTCTAGAAAGAACAAAAGGTCCATGAGAAACAGGTCCCTGAATCCCAGGAGAGCAGATAGTATATGACTTTTGCCATTGCCCCAGATTTCTGAGCCCCTAGGAGTGAGGAAAGCTATTACAGTTTCTTTGGGAATGTCTGACTATGTCTGATCAGCCCTCTTCTGACATTAACAGCAGCTATGGTGGATGGTCTATATATTGTCAGTGCCTCATTTCAAAGTGCCTGCCTTGGGTTTCTCTGCCTC